ACACACACACACACACACACACACACACACACACACACACACACACACAGAAACTGGATGTCTTCAGATTACAGATGGATCAGGTCACTTTAAATGTTTAGTCCACTAACTAAATTGATTTATAATGTATAATTTCACAATAGTCTCAAAGTTCCTCCACTGTGTACATACTTAGTAGACATAAAGGCTAAAACGTACAGTTTCCATGCCATGAAATGCATACAGCCTTTTCCAAGTGATGCACACACATACATATGGTGCAGAGGGAGAATGGTGATCCAGTAAAATGCAACAAGATAATTCTGGGTAATCCTTAAAGGTAGTTTTCTTTTTAACCTAATGGATTAACTTTGCACACAACATACTGTAATGGTGTTAATTGGAAAAAGCCTGACACTGTGATTCAGGGAATGTACATTAAAAATATAAACTAAATAATCATTCTGTTCACCATTGGTGGGCTAAAAAAAAAAAAAAAAAGACTCTCAAGGTAATTGCCTTAAAAGTAGCAAATACACCATGATCAGACCAAGATGACTGTTAGCAATACAAGTCAATACACAGCATCTATAACTTGATTAAAGTAACATGAAATCAAATTTGAATAAATTATATTTATTCTTAATTCACATTCATAGTGTTATTGTGATCAATTAATCTGTGTACATTATTCCAAAAAAAAGTTTGTCTACATAATCTTTTATTAAAAACGTAATAATTTGCTTCACCTCCAAAATAAGCTTAGTAAGCTGTCTTTTCTTATGAAGAACCATTTTTTTTGCGGTATATAGTTCGAGTTAGTTACACTGATTTTTTTTATTAGTATTTTTGTTCTTTTTCAAGCTAAGATTTGTTTTCAGAGAATGTTTGTTGTCTTAATACGTTGGCAGATTTTTTTTTTTAATTTAAATTGATTGAGGCTTATGCTTAAAACAAACATTTTTTATGGAAGTAGACAAAATTTAGATTATGCACTAAGACAGACCACATAAAATCAACACATAAAATCAAGTCCCAGCATATGTTTTTTCTCTTTAAATATCCTGTTTCACTTTGAATTACATCATATATGAAAATAAAATGGGTTACCAATGCTGTTGACTTTGTCACTATAATCAGAAAGTATACTATCAGTTTTGAAGTTCATTTTACTGTTTTTTTCTCTCTTGGCGTTATATCATGTTGTATCGCTTGTATCAGATGTTGTTGTCTATCAGTTGGCCTGATGTGATGGTGTTAAATATGTGATAATATATTTATATTTTTGAATGTTTGTGTATTTGTTAGTCGGGGTAGATGAGAAAGCCGCTGAATGTGCTGTATTTGTTGGTGTTTCCTCCATGCACTTTTCCGCCATCCAGCTGCACGCATACTTCATCTCCCACGTCTAAATGCAGGATCACACTGTTAGAGGCGTAGTCATAATTCTGATCGGCATCCTGAGCAATCGCACTGGCCCTCACCTATGAGATGGAATGAGAGAGAAATAATGGTTTGAATGTTTATTAAAAGGAAGAGTACATTATAATAATCAGGGGAGAAAGAGTAGATAAGTGTTCAGTGAATAACAGCTTGAATTCTTTTAAATTCAAGCTACCCATTGTCTACCCATTGTCAGTACGCAGATGCCTTTAAATCCTTTAACCTCACTGGAAACTGGCAATCTTTCTCTCTCTAACAGTCTTTCCCTCATGTCTTATGAGTTCTCATCTCCTCCCTAAGTAGGCTATGGGATACACAGAACAGAGAGAGAACAAAAGACCAAGACAGACCAAGGTCCGAGGGAATAAGGCTTATTGATGTGTGTGTTGCATGTGTGTGGTGTGTAATTAATTGGAAAGGCTGTTAAACACAACAATGTACCAATGTAACAACAATGTAACAATGTACAAATTTGTTAAATTGTTAAACTCATATAATACCATTTCTTCTGCATATATCAAGCTTTAGCAATATTAAATTACTTGTGGTACAAGATAAAGAACTAACATTTAATTATTTTTTGAACATCAGCATTAAAATAAACACATCTGTCTCTAACAATTCAGGTCACAACACTGATTTATGTCTATACAGCTTCAACCAAAGCCTAATTTTTGCACTGCTAATTAATGCATGATCTTAGTATATGTAAGAATCAAAGCATAATTAATGCTTCCAGTCCTGTGTATAATTAATGAGTATAACTAAAATTTATTGAATTCTCACTGCTTACCATCCGAGGTCTGCTACCATCAAATAATCTATAAGATATTTATATATTTTTAAATTCTACATTACCCATAATACACACTTTGTACTTTTGAAGAATGTTTTTCAAATGTATTTCAGTCACGTCTCCAAGTGATCGACATTTTCTTGAGTTGTGCTTAATTCTTCTCACATCTACTCATTAATTATCCCTGTCTTCCCCTCATCTTTCTTTTCCCAGCACCTCTTCCCCCATATCTGTTCAGTCCTTGCACAATCTATCCATCTTTTTCTGCTGGAATCGTAATAAAATGCAGGTCACGCACGTGTCTCCACTGCGCGTCTCGTGTTGGCGCGTGTCCCTGTCCAGTCTAAATCGGATTGATTAACGGCGCGAGGTGGCAGCTCCCGCGGGAGGCCTGGGGCTGCGTCGGGGCCTCGCTGGCTCGGTAATTGCCCAGTGCAGTGGCTCGGCTGTTGCTCCTAATGGGGCCCACTCCTCAACAACTCCACTGTATCACAATAAACGGAGCCTCGTACCGACCACCGGTCAAATGGAGTCACCAAGTATTAACTGTGTGTGTGTGTGTGTGTGTGTGTGTGAAATAGAGAGACTTAGCAAGCTAGCATGTGCATTGTGTTGCTTCCCCCCAGTGATTTCAACGACCCGTTATCAGATTAAATAGCAGGTCTTTGGTTTAAACTATACAGACAGTTTCTGACAGAAACAGCGTGATGATAATGCAAACATATTCGTTAAATAAATTCAAGAACCAAATAGCCTATGCTCAGAAAAACATCCAATTGTCAGAAGTGAAAATAATACACAGAAATACACACAAATTATTGGTGGTGAACCTAATTTATTTCATTTGGTTGTAGATGTAATTTATTTTAGTTGACTTTTATGAAAGCCAATAAAATAAACTACACATGGCACATGGCTTTCTGCTGCTTTTAAATTTATTTTAATTTTTGTCAAGAGTGTATTTATTTTAAAATGATGTTACTTTGGATTTTATTTGTTTGGCAATCCATAAAAGCACATAAATGTGTTTATTCCTGTGAAAAAGATCTGTGGACTTCAGCTGTGCCGTACATAATATTCATAAAGTTTCATGACTAAGTACATTTCTTATCATCAAATAAAAAATAAAATACATTTTTTTAGAATGTCAGTCCTCTTGCATACACAGAGGGCATAGCTTTACCACAATCTGTAACCTCAAAATATATCATGTTCTCCACTGCTAAAGGTTAACACTCTGATTTATGAATTAATGAATGAACCATTTATCTCCTATAATTTTGTATTCATACAAATCCCCTGTTTCTTAGTAACATTTAAGAGGCTAATTGGTTATATGACTGCAGGGCTCCCTGTACACTCTAAAAAATGCTGGGTTAAAAAGGGACAAACCCAGCAATTGGGTTGTTTTGACCCAGTGGTTGGGTTCAAAACAACCCAACCGGTGGTTCAAAACAACCCAACCGCTGGGTCAAAACAACCCAATTGCTGGGTTTGTGCCTTTTTAACCCAACGCTGGGTTATATTTAACCCAGCATTTTTTAGAGTGTATGACTGATTTTACTTGAAGTAGTAGCGCTTCACTTATCTGATGCAAGTAGGCCTACTTTTAATTTCACTAATATGTATTGGTCAGAAACATGCTTGGCTGGAAAGAAAAAGGAACTGAGAAAGATCATTTTTGTGACATAATCTAAGGTGGCTATGAAGAAGCCATGCAATTTTACCCTTCTTTCTTTTTTGTCCTTTATAAATCTCTGTCTTTCATTTTCTCTCTTTTTAATCTTTGTTGAATTGAGTGAGCAAAGGTGGACAGTGAGAGCATCAATGAGATGAAACAAGAATGAATGAAATGAATGTGCCAAATTGTTTGCCACAAACATTTCAAACAAATTTACCAGTATTTCATAATGGCAGCATTCCATAATTCTTCCTTGTTGTCAGTCTCTTTTCACAGTCCCTCCTCAAGGTTAAAGGCTCCAGGGCCTCCTCACAAACACTGACGTAGTCTCAGAGTTCGTATTAGATTGACCTTTTTTCCATGCAAAGGGCAGTGAAAGCACAGGAACTGAGAGCTACTGTAGAGATACAAAATAAGAAAACAAAACGCAGAGAAAGTGCAGATGCGTAAACAGGGAAAAGGGGTGTACAAGTATCTATTGCAACAGCTGCAAAAACCTGTCAAGGTACTGTGGGATTACCTCATTAACTAAATTAATTAATTAATTGGAGGATGTAAACTCATTAGCTGCTGTGTAATTGACAGGATGTTCGAGGCTTTTCTAACAACTTCTCTGCATCACACCTTAATTAGTGCCGCGTTACTCTGACGAGACCACGGAGAGGGAGAGATTTGCGAAAGAGACGGGGAGGTGAAGTGCTAAAGCTGAACCCAAAGTAAAAGCAAGTCATACAGTGGGATGAGAAGAGACATGTTTACATAGCCAAGAATCAATTACTGAATTAATTAATCGAATTTGTAATGAGAAACAAATTGGCTGGGTATTCTACTTGAGTGACATTAATTTGTGGACGTTGCGCTCCCTGCTGCACCCCTTAAGATGCTGTTTTCGTTTCTTATTCAGCCCCATGCAATCTATCCCTGCCATGAGGAGCCAAACTTTAACTAATAAGTGGCATTTCACAAATACATTAATATTCAGAGTTCTCTAAAAATAAAACTGCCACAATCTCGCTGCAGTTACAGGCTGCAAATTTTGGCCTGTCTCAAAATGTTTTGGAATCTACCTGTATTGGATGGAAGATCATAGACTATGTTTATAGTATCAGCTTGTGCAAATCTATGACCTGCAATGAGGTCAGCAGTCCTTTTTCGTTCTGTCTCTCACTTACACATGCGCTCACACTTTCTGTCGTTTTGCTCATCTATCTTACTTACACTGATCTGATGCTGTCTGTGTCTCTGGCCTCGCAGAAACACTTTCTCCCGACCTCTCTGTCGGCTCTCCTCTGATTAGCCATCCATCTTCCTCTCCTCCGTTCATCTCTCTATCATCCCACACCATTTTGCCGCCTCCCATCGCACACCCTGCTCATCTGGGTGGGCTCACACTTTCAGGTTTCGCCTTTGCCTTTTTAATTTTAAAAAAGCTATAATAAATATAGCACAAATATTATTTTACAGTGTCATAGGCAGGTTTTCCAACAGCTTCTATTTGAAAATGAAAAGTCTTTCATTTATTTACTCACACACCTCATGTTAAAATCCTGTATGGTTATTTCCTTGGAACAAAAAAGAAGACAGAACTCTTTGTGTCAATACATTAAAAGTCAATGGGGTCCAAAACAACATTGGACAAAAACACTTCAAAATGTCTTCTTTAACGAAAATTTTGTAATGACATAAGGGTGAGTAAATGATGACAGAAATTTCATTTTTGGGTGAACTATCCCTTTAAGAGCGAATCCAAACTCATGTTGGTGTGGTATGTTTGTGAGAATGCTTTGAGAGGACCTTGAGATGGGTTAAATAATTTAGCTAAGGGGAGAGATAATTAATGAGAGCAGAGATAGACATTTGGCAGAGTGTGGCTCTGTGTGTGTGTTTGTGTGTGGCCCAGGTGGAAAAGAGGGAATCTCATCTTAAAGACATGAATGATTTAACACAAGAGGAGATCACTGGAATGACAATAAATACTTACTCCCCTCATATTCTCACTTTCCGCATCTCGTCCTCCAGTTAATGGAGGCTGTGTTGAATCCCGAGCAGTCTGGCCTGCAGCGCATGAGCTATTGTATATTCAGCAATAACATGTTTTTAGTATATGAGTAACAGAGACATGCTGCTCCTCTAGGAGACAAACCGAGTAACAGCACTCAGTACAAAATTCAGTATTGTATTAATATTGTGATTACTCATAAAGTCAATTCAGGTAACTTTTGATCTGATATTACAGTCAAAAAGTGTCCCAATTTGCCCTTAAACTAAATTCAAAAAGTGACATTGTGTAGCAGTTTCTCAAATGAGATTTCAAAATGATTTTTCATTGTTTATTAATTGTGTTTTGGTTCACTCTGTCATATTCTAATATTAATATAATATTTTTTGACATAAATATAACCAGTTACTTTAGATGTTACCACTTTGAACAAACACTGATGTGTGTTTTTTGGGGGGATATATTTTTTCCTCCATTTTTTTTAAGGATTACTCCACTGGTTTAAAATGTGAAACCACTGCATGAGTGCAGTTGAATCAATCATTTTTGCAGAGAAGGTTCATATAACTAGTTCCACCACTAGTATTTCACAGATAAACTTTTTGGATCCCAAAGCTGTGGATTCACTACAATCGGTTTCTTTTGTGCTGGATCATGTATGATGAACAGACAAAGGGCATTAAAGGCAGGTGTTATGTCATGTTAATGGAAGTGTGATGAAGGGAAGCTGACAGGTTGCTACAGACTCATTAAAGGGTTTTCATCACTTCTTGTCAGATATATCTGTCACAAAGGGCCAAAAGCTCCAGGAATCTGTGTGTGTGTGAGAAAGACTGTGTATGTAAACACATGTTGCCAAGGGAATTTTTATATCTCTTTGGATAATCCCCGCTTTCTGTTCCACTACTAAAAATCAAAACTGATCGGTTGAGTTGAGAGCGCCTGAATCCCAGATCCGTGTCGTGTTTCACCAGATGGAGAGGTTTTTTATCTCTTTTTTCATTTATTCTAAATTCACGGGTCCTGTGAGGACTGTCTCCAGCTGTTGCATTTCGTTCCACTCCAGAGAGAGTCAAAGAGAGAGCTTTTGCTTGTTTGTGTTCTGTTACAAATGTCCTCTTTTCATCAGAAACTAATTACCTTTTGCTATTTCTGACTCTTAAAATAAAAAAAATAGTTTATTCTGTTAAAAAATGGACTGTTCAAATCACATTTGAACCCATTTTGATATGCTATACTCTTCGTAAGTCGTCATTGTCTTCTCTCTCTCTCTCTCTCTCTCTCTCTCTCTCTTTCTCTCTCTATATATATGTTCACATTGCCTATTTTTCCCCACTGTAGGTATCTACAGCAAGGCTTCAAGTGATAGGCTGAGAAAATGACTGCTGAATAATTGAGAAGCTGCCTTACTGGATCCAATTTGAATGTTAAATGTATTCCTTAATCCTGCCGGTGAATCTAATATTTGTTTGATATTTCAGTCAAATCACACTCTTGTTTTTTTTTACAATTCATTCACATCTGACTTTGTCTAGTTAAAATACCTCTAAAACCTTAGTTAGCAAACTCTTCCATTGCACAGAGTGAATCCAAAGTCTTCACCAGGGATGTGCAAAACTAAGTTGAATTGGATGTCTTTCAATTTACGAGTTGGAATTTGAATTGAATTGGTCACAGCCCACAAGAACCCAAATTGGAATGACAGGAAAAGGAATTTACTGGATTGTAATACAACACAGGAATTCTGGGAAATTAAGTCTTCTTTTACCATTGTCCACAAAAGTGAATATAATTTAAATATGGTTAATAAAGTGATATATTAAATATAAAAGATAAAATAGGTTTGATAGGTTTAATTTCAAACACATCTATCTATCTATCTATCTATCTATCTATCTATCATCTCTCTGTAAACTTCACATCTTCCAATCAAAACTTCCAAACAAGGATTTGTCAAGCCAATGTACATACTTAGTCTTGACAAACTTTGCTTTTCCAGTTAAACTACATTTACAGTTTTTTTATTAATTATTAATTTAAATTCTGTTTTCCTACATTCAAAATCAAATTCTGAATCTTGTTTGCTCCCTTAATATAAATTCAGGTGTTGAATTGGAATTTAAAAGGCATTCTCAATTCAGCTCTAAATGGCACACAGTCCTTGTGTACGCACCGCACACACATACACACACACACACACACACACACACACAGTCACATGTGCACATCTCCTACCTGTCCATTCTTCTTGAGGTCGGCCCACATGCTAGTTCCATCTCCGCCCCTCATGAGCACGTGATAGGTGAAGAAGTAGATTCCAGGAAGAGGACAGGTGAACTTGCCTGTGGTAGGCTCATAGTAATTCCCTACATTTGTCACCACATCATCAAACTTGAGAATCTCACTCCCTTCATGTTGCTTGCGCAGACCAGCATAGAAGGCAATTTTGGGGCTATAGAACGATGGGATGTATCCCCCTGGGCCTGGACCTGGAGGTCCAGGCGGACCTGGCTTTCCTGGTTCTCCAGGTGGCCCACGTGGACCTGGTGGCCCTTGGTTTCCACGAAAACCCGACTTGCCTCCTCCTCTGCGTCCAGGGGTGTCGGGAGGAGGAGGCGAAACAGGTGTTAGTTCATTGGTGGGTGTTAAAGAGTCACAGACCATCTTGCAGCTTCCAAGCATCTCATAATGCGTACCTCCACCTCCAGACCCACCCAGTTTGGTGCTATGGACCAATAGCGGAATAGCGACCAGTAGCACCAGCACCATGGCCACGCCCACTGCCGCGCCAATAACGCGTTTCCTGCGGCTGAGGCGCGAGGCAGTGATAGAGAGGAAGTCCTCCTCCCCTTTAGAAGAACCAGGCCCGGCCAGAATGAACTCTGGGAAATAAAAAGCACTAAGGTGAGATAGAAAAGTTAACAAGGGACCTCGATACGATGAAACGTGGCTTGTGTCTGAGGAATGAACAAAAATAAATTGTTTTTCGATATATAAAAAAATCCACCGTCAGCAACAAACAAATCAAATATCCTATATGGAATAAAGTCTTAAAGGATGTCTGTGTTCAATTCCTTTTAAATGTTTCAATTTCTGCTATTTTCCCCCTCTGCTTGCATTTACTATTTCAAAATCATAACCACCAGCCCACTAACCACTACCTCTTCTGAGTGACACACACCAGACCCAGTTATCGCTCCATATAAACAGCAATTCTGGATGATCCAGTGGGTTTATATTGTCATATAAATATATATCACTTGTCTGATATAAGTAACATGGGGGATTTGGTGTCTCCAAATGTTCGTCCGTGGATGGAGATTCTATCAGGAGATGTGGAGGTGTATTTCTCAGGGGTTGCTGTATAGCGGTGGCGTTTCCTTATAGATTGGTTGAGTGACAACCGTGTGGCTTATTTTTCCATGAGAAGTTCAAGAAACATTCTGGAGAGTTCCCAGAAAAGTCCATGTCCACTGCAGCATTTAAACAAACTCTGCCCCTCCTCTCACAGAAGAAAGCTGTGACTGTGATTTAAATTTATCATCAACAATCCATGCTGTATATTTTTTTTTGACAGTCTTAAACCTTCAAATGCATATTAAGCGCTTTGCTTGTAAACGTACTGTAAGCCCGATGGTAAATGGATGGTAAGATATAATTTTAAATCAGGCTCACAGCACTCTGGGTGATTTTCAGTTCCCGCTGGTCTTCATCAAACTTCAGCAGAATAACATTCAGGTTCCAAGATCAACCTCCTCTAGTGTCTTGACATGTTTCTCACTGAGTTGAAACATAAAAAGAGCTAAATTAGATGAACTGGAAAACTTATGACACATCATTTAAGAGAGCTGCCAACGGATTCACTAACGCTTATTAAGAATGTGCTGTGATCTTATTTATTTCTGTCCAATATTATGCATTTAACAGTAAAAATGAGCTTTTATGAACAAGGCCTCCTGGTGACATGCATGTTTGCATATAGTATTATTTTAATAATCATTGTTATTTGACTGACTATAATCATGCCATCAGAGTTGGCAGATACTACATCACAGACACAATATGTCTCCAAAGAAACTACAAACAGTATCAGTAATCACAGATTTATTAATTTAAATAATCAGATAACAATCATTGTTGTGTCAGCTGCTTGCAGGTCTTGTCCATTTACATTCAAATGCCAATAGATGCGCATATTAACTTTTGTATGGCACTACGTAGGCTGCTCATTAAACCATTATCAAATATGTTTCCTGAACCCCCCCCCCCCCAATTTGATTCCAGTTAAAAAGCATATCATCGAAAAATTCTATTAAAAGTTTGTAAAACATTTTTAAGAAACAAATGACCACGGTAAAACAATTCTACCTACCTAATAAATTCCCAGAGAATATGAAAATTGACGAGTAACTCGCAAGACACCGCAGCTCCTCTCTCATGCGCGAACAGCTCAGAATATGTCAGAGAATCTCGCGCCTTCGGGGTTTTCTTTAACGGCCACTCTGCTGTGACTGTTGTCAGATTGAAATATCTCCTGTCTTCTCCTTTTGCCGCTTCTTTGCAACCTTTTCTGCCTCTTCAAGACAGTTCACTTTAAACACGCCTACTTCTATTTGGGGATAATTAAACTCCTACTGGCGCTTGCAAAAATTCTTTAGTGACCAAATTACTAATTAAAAGTCGAATATGGCAATATTTTTGTTAAGACCGCCAAGAAGCAACAGTTTCTCACTTGTTCGATTTGTGTGAGGAAAAGGCGCTTCCACCCGCGGAATGTCTGTCGCGCGCTCCCCCGCCCTCCACACAATTACGCACTCGCGCTCACTTGCACCAGTCTCCGCAGATCAAGAAATCGATTTCCCGAGGAGATGTGCATCCTAATAGGGTTGCTGTCTACCCAATTAGTACTTATAAAAATAAGTCGGTTTGTACGGGTATGCTGTCACTACTAGCAGGAGTGAGGGATGGTCGCAGCAAGAAATATAGGACCGACTGTAAATTAGCTGTCTTTAACAACTAGCCTAAATAGAGGATGTGGGAAATGCCCAATGAACAATGTGTATGTACTGCTAAATTGTTACATATTTAGAGACGAGTTTAGCATGTACAGGATGATGATGTATCACCTGATATATTACTAGGGATATAATGTAATCATTTACTAATTTTGTTATTATAGCACAAAATTGAAAATTACACAAAGGGACCATTACGCTCTTAAAAAATAAAAGTTCTTTATTAGTATATGGTTCTGTGAAGAACTTTTAAAATCCATGGAGCCTTTCCACTGCACAAAATGTTCTTTTTACTGGAAATAGATTCTTCAGATTATTCAAATATTCTACACAGTATAGGCTAAGAAAAAAAAAAGGTTCTTATAAGAACTGTTCGTTGAAAGGTCCTTTGGATAACTTAAAATGATTAATCTGTGGAATCGCTGTGAAACCCCCTTTTGGAACCTTTATTTTTAAGAGTGTGGGCTAAGAATACACAGGGACGCGAGAAGTAGGGGTGCTGAGGGGGCTGCAGCACCCCCTGTTTTCACATGGTTGCAAATGCAACGCCAAGTTCGTTAATTTAAATGTATTCAGTTTTAGCATTTAATAATTTATTTGTAATGATCTCTGAAATGTAAATTGTACGTGGGCTATAATAAACCCATGTTTATCTTTATAAACATGATTAATTTTACTTGTGATGTTTTCTATATGGGATGATTAGCCTAATCCTCATGAACACGTGACGCTGGCGCGTGGTATCAGACATGAGCTATACAGAATGCGAACAAGATTAACTTTAATGCAAGGAGATAATGGCGCAAAAGAGAATTTCAGATTTTTTAAAATGCCCATCCCAGCAAAATCGTTCCAAAATCGGCATCCAAACAACACCAGCCCCAGCACGAGCACCGACGTAAGTGAACCAGCTCCCCCCCTCCACCCTTTCACCCAACACGGACACACACAGCACCCCCAACCGAAAACATCTTCCCGCGCCAAGAGTGACCTTACTATTAAATCTAACCCGAATCATACCCGACGCAGAACCCTTGTGCGCTCCTTATTTGGGAGTCACACTCATGGTCTTCGCGGTCAAAAGTGACTGGACACCTGAAATGTAACTTTTTTTTCTAATATATCTAATATATATTATCTAATAAAAATCTAATATATTTTTGTTCAATAATATTTTTTCTTTGTGTATTCTGAGAGAATTTTATGGTACTAATTAATATTTATGTAATAATTATAAATTTTTTTCAGTTGAAAATAGTACAAAAAAAATAGTTTTCTATTTTTTTTTTACAATTATTTTTTCAATTAATGCAGTATTTCAGATTAAAATAGAGACTAGGCCTTTAAAATCCAATTTTTGTAGGCAGAATAGCACCTCCTGGTGAGAGCAAAAAAAGAAAAACCTGTAATTTCATGGTGTAACCACAAGATTACCGTATAGGACTCTATAGAGAGGCTTGTGAATTCCTTAGTTGTTTTTATACATAATTGTTTACTTTTATTAGGTTGTGGATTTAAATGTATATTAAGGCATTCTCAAAGACTACTTTTTGTCAATGTTTATATTTTTTGTTGTTTTAAATGTTGATTTGAAGTGTAGGTTTTTGCATTATTATTACTACATTCAAACCTGAACACAGAAAGCATTTTGTTACACAAAACATTAAAATTATATAAAAATGTAACAAAAATTAACAAAAAAGAAAAACCTGTAATTTCACGGTGTAACCACAAGATTACCGTATAGGACTCTATAGAGAGGCTTGTGAATTCCTTAGTTGTTTTTATACATAATTGTTTACTTTTATTAGGTTGTGGATTTAAATGTATATTAAGGCATTCTCAAAGACTACTTTTTGTCAAGGTTTATATTTTTTGTTATATGGTTATAGCCATACCAATTCATTTGAGTATGTATAATTCTGTATGTGTATCTCTATGAGTGTGTGTAAGTAAGTGTATGTGAGTGGATGTATCTGTTTTACACTCTTGATGTTTTAGAGTGTAACCCCTTCCTTGCTGTCCACTTTTTTACTGCATTGTAGTTGAATTATTGATTTTATTTTACATAGTTGCAGTGTTACAGTCACACCAGTTCATAGGTGTGTGTGTGTGTACAAGTGTATGTCCGCGCGTGTGTGAGTTGGTGCGTTGATTTTGCACTCTAGATGTTTTAGAGTTTCACCCCTTCATTGCTGTGCAATTTTTTTCTGCATTGTGGGGGATTTGTAGATTGTACACACAAACATTTTCTGTATTTTCGTATATTTCCCATTCATTTCCTATGGTCGGTCATTTTTGACCGAAGACCATGAGTGTGACTATTTTTTTTTACGACCACTTAGATTTTTCGAATCATGCCCTCAATTTTTTTTTGTTTTCAAATACCAAGTGCCATAAAAGTCACCAAGTTTGTACCATTCTGATGAAGCTACGATTTTTAAAAATTCAAAATGTAAAATTCTCCGGTCAGAAGTGACCGAAGACCGCACAAGGGTTAAAAATAAAGATTTGTTAATATTTATTAGTTGTAGTAGCATTGTTGCTACATTGAGTCTTAAGACTGCTAAATAGTAATATTTCTGACACAGTTTCTTCACGTTAAACCAAACTTTTATTTTGACGGGTTGCCATGTTTTTTTCTGCATTGTGGGGGATTTGTAGATTGTACACACAAACATTTTCTGTATTTTCGTATATTTCCCATTCATTTCCTATGGTCGGTCATTTTTGACCGAAGACCATGAGTGTGACTATTTTTTTTTACGACCACTTAGATTTTTCGAATCATGCCCTCAATTTTTTTTTGTTTTCAAATACCAAGTGCCATAAAAGTCACCAAGTTTGTACCATTCTGATGAAGCTAC